ACTTCTCCTTCAGGTCCTAGTCACAAAGTATTGAGATGGAGTTTGCCCCATTTAAAAACCTGTCAGTAAAAGAATTTAGATTGCAAACAAAAATTGCAGAGCTAGTTGAATGAAAATCAATTCAAGGCTAATTTAAGAAACTTCTAAGAAAAATGCTGAGTTTACAAACCAAAATAGAAAATGACCACTATCACATTTCAGCTTAAAAAAATGATTGCTTCTTTTCTCTCCACCATTTCCATGGTTGGAGAATGTTTGCGGTGACTCTTGACATTGAGTCCTCAGTGTAACAGGGTCAAGGGCATATGTTTAATACACCAATTAACATCATGCCACTAAACTTATTTTTTAAAGTAATAAATAGCACCTCTGAATAGAACTGTTCAACTCAGGTCATAAATTACACACATACAGAAAGGAGAAAGTGAAAGAATGTGAAAAGGTCGGGAAAGACCCAGTGCCATAATTAAGAACAAGAATGGAGAAAGATGGGCAACAACTAGAAGGTGAATCATCATTTTTATTATGAAAAGCAATGTGATGGTTGGGATATTTGGGGAAGGGGAGGAGATGGTCACTGCATTGGTGTTTACTGTTTCTAATTACATTCCTGTCAACTGTTTTCACTTGTTCATACAAGTGGGTTTATGTTCATTATTTTATTACTCCTTCAAGTTGCATGGCATCCTACAGTTTAGATGAACAGAAGACAATTGTTCCAATATTTGGAAGTACAGGGATTGTTCTGTTTTATAATTCTTTGGTGTAGACAAACACTAGTCCACCTCTGAAACTCTCATTTCCTTTCTATTTCAATCATCATGTATCATTGTTGCTCAGCTAAATCACGTTTTTAATCATGCTTTCTATTTATTTTTACTGATTTTGCTCAGAAGGTAAAGGCATCAGTCTTGCGTCAGAGTTTCACTCTGAGATGCGGACACACTTTACAACTGATTTTTAAGGGAGAGACTGAAGCCAGCAATTGAGAAAACATATTAGATGCTTTCAGGTTATCCCATTCCACTAGTCACTTCTGAGAGACCACCAAAATCCTTAAGCTCAAGAAAAAATGTAATGTCAATAAATATCAACATAGGCCTGGTTGTGGTAGCACAGTGAGGTAGAGAATATAACTGAAATCAAAATGAATATATATTCAAATAGCCACAACATTTTACTTGTAGGTAAAAGTGTTACAGATATATCGCAAACAAACAGTTCTATATTATCGAAATCTCTTATGTTTCATATTTGTAGTATTATAAAGTAACTTTATTTGGTATTTGAAATATTCCACAATAGTGTTAATGTTTTCTGCCAAATTTGTTTACAAACAAGAAGGTACATTTTTGGTAAAAGCTACTGAATGCTGAGATACTAACATTATCTTAGGCCAACATTAGTCTTATAGTTTTGTCCCGTGTTTATAAAGATTCTGTTTCTATGTAACTTAAAACTACCATCATCATCGTCTGGACTCAAACATTTTTTTAGGAGTAGAAGTTATACTATAGACTTACTCTTTACAGTTACATTTATCTCATTAATATATCCTGATACCCTAAAACGAATGACAGTCATTATGCATACTTAAAAATACTGATTAGCCATAATTATTTTTAAGATGGATGGGTGAACTACAAATTAAACTCTTGAACTTGCAAGTAAGGGGAATGAAATTACCCTTTAAAATCTGAACCAGAAGATCAATTCTGTTGAATCAGAGCAGAGACTCCCAGTCATCCACAGAGTCATGGCTCGGAGAACAGACTTAACTCTAGAATATTGTAAGGTATTCATACATGGGGAAACAGTGTCCAAGACAGGGTCCCTTCAATATTTGACTGTGTGCTGGCACAGAACATATGAACAAAGCAGCCCAATTTCCTGGGAATGTGTGATTGTGGGATGGGTGGAATCTCACTGAAGAAAAGGGAGGAAGGGGAATATTTTCTCTGGGCTGTGAAGAAGGGACCAGCAGTCTTTTGCAGCCTGGCAGGACTATGGTTTGTAGGGCTTATAGTATATATAATCCAGACTGAAGGGTCAGGGAACAGCTTGAATCATCTTACAAATTATGATAAAGGAAGAAAACAAGAAACACGAATTTCAGTTGAAATTGAAAACTGAGAAATGATGCAAGGATCCCAGACACCTACAAAGTGTCTTGTCCCCAAGAAGATTAGCAGGGCTAAGAAGTAACATACTAATAGCAACAACCCATCCAGCACAAGTTGTATACGTCTACACTTAAAGTATGGACCACCACTGGTTTTCACCATCTCCTCTCCAGCCCCTGCTACCGCTAACTCCCACAGGGACCACAAATCCAAATTCTTCGACTGTCTCACAAGACCCAACATATAACTTGACCACGATTGACACCACGCTTTCCCTCAGACTGACTCTCCCCTCCGGCCACAATGGCTTCCTCCTTGCTCCCTGACTCCTAAAGCTCCCCCTCTTCACGTCAAGCATGGTCCCTCTGCCAGTAATTCTCTCCCTTCAGATGTTCACAGGTTCCCTCTTCTACTTTCTCTGGCCTCTCTTCAAAGGTAAGGTCCTCAGAGGACACTCCCCTGACCACCCTACTTCAAGTAGAAGCCCCCCAACCCAAGTCATTTCCTGACATTTTATATTATTTATCATTATCTGAAGCTGTATGCACACACACAGACACACAAATATATGTGTGTGCGTGCATGTACAAAATGTGTGATATTAATAAATATACTATAAATAATATCTATTTTGTCTTACTACTTACTCTTTTATTGCTTGCCTCTTGTCTCCCACTGAAACATACTACCAGGAATGCAGAGAGCTACTTTTTGGTCTTAGTAAGTGTTATATTAAGTTAGTTCTAATTTTTTCTGATTTTTTACTAGTTTTTTACCCACTTTGCACTAATTTGGTATAACCTTTTAAATTATAATTTAACCCCCACTGAAGTATTTTCATCTAGAAATTCAAAAAATATTCTGATTTGTGTGAAAGTAATGTTACAAACTGAGAAATTAATATTTTGTTGTGTAAGTATAGTTTTTATTAATTTGGTTGGGGCCCTTTCGCATGACAGGGGTCCACTCATGTGGTAGAGGTAAAGATAAAAAGAAGACCCTGATGTGCCTCTCCCTAAGCCTTTTAAAAAACAGGAGTCCTTCTTCCAATGTCATCACAGTAACCTTGTCAATTTTCTTGGTTACCTATGAGTAAAAAGAAGGGAATTATATAAACAGATTTTTATTAATAGTGGATGTAACAATTTTTTCAGAGATCTTTCTGCTTTTCTTTTTAGTTGTCAGTGACTTGACTTAAACATAGTAATGACTTTGGTTTATAAAACGTTCACACAGGCAGTCCTTGGATTTGAACACATATGGGAATATCAAAAGCCTAACCAATTGCCACCATAAAGATGAAATCTGTTAGGTATATTTATTAAAATTATAACACATGATTGATGGCAAAAGACTCAAGTCTGTTCCAACACAGTCTTCTGATATAATAACAGTACTTTTAACCATTACAACTACCTGAAATCAAATTAAGGCCAGGATTCCTATCAACACACACTATATAGTGACTTCATTTCTATGAAGTTAAAATTCACACAAAGGATGAAAGTTCATGTTCAGGCGAACTGCAACAGATTTCACTGAAAAAAATTCGAGGACTGTTTCAGCCTCCTCAATTTCCAAGAATAGTAAGGCGATTTCCAAGATACTGACAGATTTTAAATTGCCATACCTTTGGTTGCAGCCATCTCTCAGTTTTTGTATATCAAGAAATATCTACGTCAGTTTCCTGACTGAGCTTCTGGCATGTTACTAAAAGAAAAGTTATGTATTCCAAGTATTCCTTACTATTTCCATACCCTTAAATACGTCAGCTGAGTGGCTGCAAGATCATGATTAGGTCGTCCATTACAGTGCCCTACTCATAGAGGCTGCTCATTAACTGTTTATTGAATGAAAGAATTAATGATAGAATGAGGAGTATATAAATTCACTAGAAATCCCAAACGTCTCTTAGTCAAATAAGTCACAAATTGGCTTATCTTTTGCAGTGAGAGTAATAAAACAAGACTATTAAGCAATAAAAGATGTAATGGGAATCTGTTGAATTTTGTTCTAAAACATAACTCTTAAAAATGCTTGAAACATAATTTCTGATCATTTATAATTTATTCTGCTTTATAGGGTTGTTGTGCCCTTATTTATATTAAAATATATGAGAAGTGATCAAGTAAGAAATAATTCCTGAACTTAATGGTCGATGAGTTCTATAAAGTAATTAGCAAAGATTGAAAATAAAACAAACACTTCCAGAAGGATTCCACTATCAAGTCTACACATACCAAGGGAATGTATTTAGGCAATAAAGGAATATCTGGATATAAGCATGAGGTAGGTGATCAGAAGGTATCCGAAAAGTGGGCAAAATGAGAGACACCAGCAGAAGAACTGATGATTTATACATTTTGCTCCTGTTTTTCTTTTTTTCCTCTATTGGCCTGTTCTTTGACAGGGGTCCCTGTCTGGCATCAGGCGGAACTACACAGAGGGTTCCTTAAATCCCCTGAGAACAGAGATAAACAACCCCCAACAAAACACTAAAAGCACTAATGTAAGAAATAAAACAAAACAAAACCAAAACCAAAAAAACCCAAACTGGAACCAATTACATAATCTGTAATATTAAGAATCCAGGTTTAGGAATGAATCAAACACAAATTCAAATCTCATTTACTAGGTAGATTTCTGAAAGCAAGGTATTTCAATCCCTTGTGCCTCAGTTAGTTCATCAGTAAAATGGGGTTAACCCATTTCACAGATTGGTTATGAGGGAAAAATAAAACACCTGGCATGCCTAGAACATAGGTTCTCAATAAACAGTGGCTTGTTGTGGTTATCAGTTGGTACTATTTCATTTTGGCCCACCTCTACACTTAGGTCATAGAGTTCAATGACAAACTACTTCCCAACAGAACTTACCCACGAAGAGCTGACTGTTGAGCTGTAAAAGGATGTGCCCATCAGTGGGAGCAGGCTGTGTCTTCGGTAAGAGCTGATCCACTTGAAGAGATGCCTCTTTCATGTTCCTTTCCACCCTGACGTGGTGCCACTGGTTGTCGTTGAAATGAGTGGGTGACTGCACCGAGATTTCAAAAGGTCCATTCCCCACATCAAATGAAAAGGTCACTACTGCTGGAGCTGGAAATAGGAGATAGGAAGATTGTTCCAGTTAGTCCATGTGGTGGACAGAGGAGTCCTCAACACACTTAGGAATAGCACCATGACATGGCAATCATGAAATATAAAGGTAACGGCTTAAATCTTACGGAAGGAACCGATGACATCAGTCAAGAATAGACGTGGAATGAGAACAGAAAATCCATTTGGAAAAAAACCCGAGATTTTAAGAAACTCATCCTCAGAGTTAATTTTGCATATCGATAGAGCAAAGCTATTAAGCCAGAACAAGAAAACTATATAGCATCTGGCATTTTATGTAAAAATTTTTACAATGATTCAAAGTTTATCTAATTTTAAAAGCACGTAATATACATTTGATAATAAGATACTAATAGTGGCCTAAGAGTATACCAAAATTATATGGCATACAAAATTAAATGGCTGGTCGATTTAATTAAGTAATTCTGTAATTACCTGAGAATTGAGTTTTTAAAAAGTTTTAATTATTTGGATTTAAAACCCTAATTCAATTGGTTCTACAGAATACTAATTATTTTCCCAAATTATTGCGTTATATATTAAATTATTTTCTAGCAGAAAGGCTAACTTAATATCATAGATTTTTTTCCAAAAGGACACAGTGAAAAGATTTAGCTGATAAAGTAGAAACACAGTAGTTTAACAATTAGTTAAAGGATTTACTATTAAATAGAATCCCACAAGCTTCTAAGGAAAAGGAGACTCACAGCGTAGCTCTATCCTTATAAAATCGGTAATCCCCAGGTTCTCTAAAAATACCCCAGATGAAGCTGTTGTCTTAAAAAAGAAAGACACATCTGCACTAAGTTCTCCATGGAAAGTAGGAAAATGAAGGTATGAAGCCTCAGTATTGAAGGAAGCTGAATTCCAAAATGACCCTGTTTAAAAAAAAAAAAAAGGAAAAAATCAAAAAGAAAAATTCATAAAATAAAATGAATGACATAATTACATTTTCTATTTTTAGCATTTATACAAACCTGCTTTTCTTTTTTCTATTAACTATATAGTACACAGGATGGGAGCCCAAGGATTGCAATCCTGGATTCCTTCCAACATAGGAGAGAAATGAACACTGCAGAAATGGTCTGAATGTTATATTTTATATAAGAAAATCAGCCTCACCCTAAACACCACCCTCTGCCCTAAGTGATATAAGAATCTGCCAACTATTGATTAATAGACTGAATTTTTTGTATAACTTGAAAATTGAAACACCTACATTCCTTTGAATAACAAAAAATCGAAAGAAGCTCAAAGCATTTTTTTGTTCTGACACTTCTAACACACACACTCCAAAGAGTTACACCCTCAACTAACTGTTTTCATTAATGGGCTTTGCGATTTTCTAAACTGAGACTGGCATTCGAAATACTCTCAACCAATTAAAGATCAAGACACTACTTAGTCTGTGCTATGCTGATCTCCTCATGAAAATGCTCTTCTCATTCAGAATTACCTTCTACTTCGCGTGTAATAGTGAAGTAGATAAACAGCAGGAAAGGACTCTGAAAAAGTTGAAAAATGCTCAATATAAGGAGAAAAATGGGTAAAAGGCTGGGGTATAAATTAAGAGATCTGAGAAAAACTTATGTGGACTATAATTTAATTATGATTTCTGTCCACAGGCAACTTATCTTCACTTTTCCCATTCATTTTGCTGGTGCTGTATCGACAACTTTCCTTTTGGAAAAATACCATGGGGCTCCTATAGCTGACCGTTTGGGAAATAAAATATAAATGCAGTGGCACGAGGTGGCAGGAGTGAGATCCAAGTGGCTATGTGTGGTTGATGAGAAACACCATCAGAGAAACCAACTATGTATTACTGCTACCACCAGCAAGTTCTCGACACATCAACCATGAACATGTATCTTGAGTTTGAAGCAACTGCCTCCATACACACTCACAACACTGGACAAAATTCTACCTAAACTACCTTTCTCGAAGACGTATTGATCCGCTGAAGTTAGAAAACAGTAATTTCAAAACAATGGCTCGTTATGTTTGCAGGGAACAGATACCTAGAGTTAAAAAATCACAGACTCGACTCAATTCTATCTGTTCCTTAGATTTTAATTTATTTTGTATAAATTTCGGACCGAACAAGCAGTGGTTGTATCTATTTTACTTTTTCTGTTTTTCTTAGGGACCTCATTCAAAAGTCAATTCTCAGCTCATCTGTGAACAATTTTAGAGTTGAATTTATTCAGCTGAGAATATACTTTGAGGGCTTTTTTTCCCCCTAAAGCCAAATGAAACTGCCTATTATCTGAGTTTGACAAGCCTAGTCCTTATTTCCATTTTACAATTATTTCTATGATGAGACATTTGGATCTCTAGGAAAGAACGCAAGAAAATGCAAAATACCAAGTCAGGTATAACAACACATTTGTGTTCTTAAAAGGTCTTACCTGTCCCATTTTTAAAAGGGATTAAATGCCTTTCTGTTGAATGTGATATACATGAAAATTAAAGTTGTAACTCTAAATTATGGAATATTATTGAATCTTATTCATTTGGTCAGATTTAAAAGAACATTCAGAATTCCTTAAAGGTCTAAATTAGATAATATCATTATAAAACATAATACTTCAGATGTTTCATTTATATATCACAACTAACCCAATAAAGCATCCTATCGAAGGCTTCAGGGAACTGGTTGAAACAAAGGAACAACTCTTTGAACTGCTGCTATCTTTACAATGAATGCTTTTACAGCAATGAAAACAATTTATTACCTTAGGTAGCTCAAACATTCTCACACACATAATCGTGCCTATTTTGTCTAGTTAGCAAACCTTATTGTGCAGATTCACAATAGGTAAAAAATAGAGAACATTTTATTGGAGCAAGAAATTGCTGCTAATTCAAAACAATTATAAAGAAAGCAAAGGCCAATACTTCCATGATCGAATAATGTTTATGGCATATGATACCTCAGCTCTTTACAGACTGTGCTATTAGGAAGCACCCAGGAGAATGTGAACTGCCTCAGAGAAAGGAGGGGAGAGGGAGGGTGGCAGAGCAGAGCCCAGCAGGCAGGCACGAGCAGGAAGCTGCAGGTCTTTTGAAGAAAGAGTTTCTGGCTGAAGTGGCTTAAAAATCCTTAAGCTGCACCAGTAGCAACTTTGAATGCAATCACTTGCTGGATTCGTCAGGAGAGTTAGACCCCTTTTATTAGCCCAACAAAAACAAATCATGATGTGTTATTCTATGTGATTCACTAGTAATAGTAAATAATTTTAAGTAATTCATAATTAATATATTTTCAATTCAATTCAGTATAGGGTACTAAAAATTTGGAAAGATTCCTTCAGGAATTCCACCTTTTATCTTTCAAAAAAAAAAAAAAAGTAACGGATAATGGGATCCGTAGAAGAAGAAGAGGTACGAAAGATTCAATTCCATACACAAAGTAAAAAGAGCTCATTTAGGAAAATTAACTAGGTAAAATGCCAAGATTAGAAGTAATTTAAAAAATATTCCTTCTGCTAAGCTTTTATTTATATCATGAATAGATTATCCTTTTAAAATAACAGTTATAGAGACAAAAAGCAGATTAGTGGTTTTCTAGGACTGGGGAGAAAGGCAATTGGAGAATGATAGGCGCTAACGGGTGGAGAGTTCTCTTTGCGTGACAAAAATGTTCTTAAATTGATTGCGGTAATGATTATACAATGCTATAAATATACTATAAGCCATTAAGTAGTTCATTTTACATACATGAATTGTATGGTATATAAGTTATATCACAATAAAGCTGTTTTTAAAAAAGGACAATATTTGAAAAAGCTGTTATTTTTTAAGGCGCTGTGTTTTACTTTTAAAAGTAGAATGCATATGACATGCTAACCCTACCTTTCTTTCTTTCTTTATTGAGGTATGATTGACATGTAAAGAGCTGTGCATATTTAATGTGTAAAACTCGGTAAGTTTGGTAACACTACCATTCTTTAAAGTAAATAAAATGAAGTAAAATATAGAAACTCCAAGGCAAGGGATAATTTACTAGTCAAACAGATCTTCCTAGAATGTGTAAGAATCATTTGTAAAAGGCAGAAATATACTTTCTTTCATTAGAATTTTTATTTTGAGATAACTCTAGATTCTCATGTAGTTGTAAGAAATAATACAGAAAGATTCTGTGTACCCTTTAGCTGGTTTTCTCCAAAGGTAACATCTTGCAAAACCATAGCACACTATTGAAACCAGAATGTTTACACTGATACCAGTCAAGATGCAGGACATCTGCATCATTGCAAGTATTCCTCATGCTTCTCTTTTATAGCCACACCCACTTCTCTCCTGCCTCACCCCTTCTGTAACCTTGTGACAACCCCTAGTCAGTTCTCCGAGGTCATCTGAAGAATGTGCTATAAATAAAGGCATACAGTATGTAGCCCCTTGAGATTAACATATTTTTCACTCAGATTTACTCCCTGAAGATAAGACAGGTTTATGTGTGTCAGTAATTCATTTCTTCTTATTGCTGAACAGCATTCCATGTATGGAAAATCAGTTTGACCATTCTCCTATTGAAAGACATCTGGATTCTTTCTAGTTTTCAGCAATTACGAACAAAGCTGCTATAAACACCCAGGTACAAGTTTTTATATGAATATAAATTCTCAGTTCTCTGGGATAAGGCCCAGGAATACCGTCCCTGAGTCGTATGGAGAGTTGCAACGTTTTACTTTTTAGGAAACTGCCGGACTCCTTTCCAGAATGGCTATATCATTTATATCCCCACCAGCAATGTGTGAGTGATCAGGTTTCTTCATGTCCTGGCTGAATTCCTGTCACTACTTTTGTTTCAGCCATTTGCAAGGTATGCAGTGACATCTCATTGTGGTTTTGATACACATTTTCCAGTAGCTAATGATTTTGAGTATCTTTTTGTGTGTTTAATTGCCATTTGTGGCCTTTTAGTGAAATCTCTCTTCATGTCTTTTATCCATTATATCTCTGGCTTGCAGAAGGCCACCTTCTCACATGGCCTTTCCTCTGTGCACAGGTGGGAAGAGAGAACTCTCTGGGGTCCCTTTCTCTTCATATAAGCACACCAGTCCAACCAAATTAGGGCCCCACCTTTATGACCTCATTTAACTTGAATTACCTCCTTAAAGACTCTACCACTTAATACAGTTACATTGGAGTTAGAGCTTCAACATATAAACTTTGGGGTGGGGAAACAATTCAATCCATAACATCCATATTTTAATTGGATTGTTTCTTTTTTTCACTGTTGATTTCTGAGGGTTCTTTATATATTCTAGTTACTAGTCCTTTGTCAATTCTCAGTCCTCATCTTACTTAACCTATCGAAAACAATTAACATAGTTTATTATTTTCCCCTCCTTGAAACATTTTCTTCACTTGGATCCAGAACACCAACACTCTTTTGCCTTTCTCATTAGTGCTATAATTCTGTTTTTCTTTCTTCCTCCTCACCTCCTCAACCTATTAATGGTGGAACACCCCCAGTTCCTATCATTACACTTCTCCATCCACAATGACTCCTGCTGGTCCATTTCATGGCTTTAAATATGCTGATGACTTACAAATACATATCCGAAGCCTGGAACTCTCAAACTAACAACTCCACATCTCTACCTGAACACTTCCATCTCAACTTTAATATGTTCAAAAACTGAGTTCTTCATATTCTTCTCCAACTCCTTGACCCCAGCAATATTCTCCCTCTTGATTAATGCCAATTCTGTGCCTCCAACTGATTATTTGACCAAACACCTTGTGTTATTCTTGACTCTTCTGCAGCCTACATTGATCCATCAGCAAACTGTACTGCTTCTGCTTTTGAACTATTCCCATACTACAACTATCATTATTGTGCCCATGGCCCAAGCCACCATGATCC